AAGAGTTTCCCATTTATGGACTAGTACACTTGTACAAAAGCAAAACAATATCATTCCCAATTGCTTGCACATTTGCTTTATTTTGCAGATGCCAAAAGCCCTCAACAAGCCCTAGAAAGTACAGAAAACGCTCTCCACCGATCCTCATCAGTCATCATCATCTTCCCCAAATCTCCATCCAATCGCCGCCATCCATACTCCCGCACCCGCGATTCCGACCTCCCTCCGCCCCCTTCCTCCGGGCCCATCCCGCCGGCTGCGAGTCTCTCATGCTCGTAAATTTCTAATTCGTCCATTTTTAGTAGTTTCAATCTCCCACCCTCTCGCAATGTATCTACTTATAATCAGCTCAATTCATCCATGCATTTAGTTTGTTTTCGAATCCTATCGTTCTTATTTATTTTCAATTTTGCATAAAAAATCGTTTCTTTTAGTCTTACAACTATTCGCTGCAATTATTAATCGTGCTGTGAAATGAGCTGCATTCTGTGGATGTTTTTATTTATTTATTTATTTGGTACAAGAACGAAATTTAGTTCTAAGTATTGAATGTGTTGGTTTCTGGACACTGTAATTGTGCTGTGGGAGCTCATTTTTCTGCTTTATTTTGTTTTAACTTTAGAGAGAAGATGGATGGGATGCATGGGAGTGAACCTGGCATGATGCATTACTTGGAAGATCAGCATCATCATGGGCTGCATCATATGAATGATGGAGATGATATCGATCAAGATGATAATGGGGACCACAATAACATGGGCAACACTGATGGGGTAAATGAAGTTATGGATGGGGATGTGAATAGCATGGCGAACCAATCCAACAACCATGATGGGCTGATCCCGGTTGGTGGCAGTGAGAACAATAATCAGCTCACCCTTTCCTTTCAGGGTCAAGTTTACGTGTTCGACTCGGTGTCTCCAGAGAAGGTTCTTGAAATTGAGCTTCATAGTGCCATCCTCTTTTCCTCTTTACTTTCGTTTTTCGTAATCTCAACTGATATGATGCACTGTTGATTCGGTAGTATTGAAGGCGTACTGAGAAGGGGAGTAGGCAACGTTAAGTTGCTTTGTTTAGTATTGTAATTAATTAATGAATTTTATTGCCAAGTGTAAATCTAGACCGCTGCTTATTTTTTTCGTGTCGAGAGGTGTATAAGGTAAATTTTTTATGAATGTGATTGATAGAATATTGGCTAGGAAATAAAGACATGTGGTCGTTTCGAGTTATTAACTTATCACATGGTTCTCATCCAATCCCCACTGGCTCCTTATCAAGTAGTAATTAAATGTTGTCTCATAAAGCTTATATAGATGTTTGCTTTACAAAGTTACTCGTAAACCAGTTCACATTGTACATTATTGGATCGTAGATTTTACCCGTGTGAAACCTCTGAAGCAACTCCACACTTGACCCAACTCAAATGTTTGTTATCTGATAGTCATTTCAATTACCCCCCTCTTGTCCAAACGACATAGCCTAAGAACTGAATATGCATACAATAGGGCTACACACCATGACTCCAGATCCGTTGGCAAGCAGTTTTGGCTTAATTGAATTATTTTCTCGATCAAAATCTGAACTATGTGGATTATTAGTCTACTGACTCGCTGTGTTTAGTGCTTTCTCTTCCGTACTCTGAAGGGAGAAGAAAAGATAGGAAATATAAAAATCTTGTTTGAGATACAGATTTATGTTCTGTTTATATCAGGTTCAAGCAGTACTTCTGCTGTTGGGGGGGCGTGAAGTGCCTCCTAACATCCCAGCTGCTCCTATATCTGCTGTCAGTAACAGAGTATGTATATCATCAGAATTTGTTATTTTCTGTTTCACTGTTGACACTACTTTAACTCCCTTATTGACTGACAGGAAGCTTCAAGTACCCCACCGAAGCTCAATGTTCCTCAGCGAATAGCCTCGCTTATAAGATTTCGCGAGAAGCGAAAAGAAAGGAATTTCGATAAGAAAATACGTTATACTGTTCGTAAGGAAGTTGCTCTGAGGTACTGCCCACCGTCCCCCCTCCCCCTTCTGGTTTAAAAATGTTATATGCAGTGAGCTTTGAGCTTTTTCAGTAAATATGTTTGACATAACATAATCTGTTTAATTTAACTTGGGCAGGATGCAAAGGAACAAAGGCCAATTTACATCCTCAAAACCGAGTAATGATGATTCTACGTCAAACTGGGACTCGAATCCTAACTGGGGTAATGACGGATCACAAGTTCAGGATATCTCGTGAGTTTACATTTTACACACGCTACTATGATGTTCTGTGCTTCTCTTGCTATCAACTTTTTATAATGTTTTGGATTTAGTTTTTTCTCTCTCTGACCTGATAAGCTGACCCAATTTTCGGGTTAATTATTTTTCTGATTATTTCTCTAATGGCTGCAGTCTTCATGAATATTGTTTCATAGTAAAGACGCAGACTCATTCCCATATATTTTTGGTTAACTTTTTATTCTAGAGATATTTTAATTTAATTATCTAAATGCAATTCCATATAAATGCATTGTGACCTTTTTTTTTTGTGAATTAATATCAGCTGCCGACATTGTGGGGCCAACGCCAAGAATACTCCAATGATGAGGCGTGGTCCAGAAGGACCGAGGACTCTCTGTAATGCATGTGGACTTATGTGGGCAAATAAGGTACTTTTGGGGATTGAGATTATGTTTTTTGCTCAGATCTATCATATCGCACATAATCTTTGTCATCACATTGACAATATGTCGCATGTTGTAAATTTTACCATATCTAAACATTTTGTAGGCTCTTTATTTGCCAATATCATTCACATTAATTTAAATTCCAGTTAATATCCCCACTAGTTGAACATGTATGTGGAGACTCGGTGTATTAAATTGTATAAATCCTTGAATGGGTTGATGAAGCTTGATGCGAAGTAATCCTTAGTTCAATACACGGTCATCTTTTTACATTTTAGATAACAAAGTAGTTCTCGAGTACATGTATTCAAGAAAAGGTAGAATTATGAAATAAATCTGTAGTTTCAGCCATTCTAGTTGAATGCATACAACTCCAATGTTCTTGTTTTCACTAGACTCTTTTCGCCTTGGTTTTTCCAAATTTAAACATTTTAGGGAACTTTGAGGGACCTCTCGAAGACAGCATCCCTTTTGACTAGTCCTCCCGTGCGTAACAGAAATGAAGAGGTATATATAATTTGGCTGTGTCCATGATGGCTATATGCCTGCAGAAATTTAAGGGAACTATATGTAATCCATATTTGTCTACTACTTACGTCTTACTCTCCATCCTTTTGTAGAATGGAAATTTCGAGGCAGAAGAAATGGTCCTTAGCGCCGCTGGCAATGGGAACGACTCATCATGATTGTCCATTTCATGTAACTTATTTTCATCATGAGAAATGAGAACTATGTAAGATAGCCGAGGCCTTTTTTCACTATTCGTTTGTGATGGTAAAAGTGGCTTTCAGATGCGAAAAGTTTTAATGGAGGGGCTGTGTTATATTAGCCGTTAATCCAGTGCTCTCGGTTAACTGTTGTTGTAACATAATCAGTTTGGTTTGCCTTATTTTGTTTTTGCCCTCAAAATGAATTATGGGACAATTTTTCCTTGCTCAATGACTGATTATGAAACCCATCTGTGAGATGTAGTAGTCTTACTACTTTACCAATGGTTCAATAGCTACACATTATTATTATGTAACTAAATTTTTGTAACTTTTGAGATTTAATGATATTTATTGACATTATGATATGAGAAATGAAGTAAGAACTGTGATTATGAACTTATTTGGACTTTGGAGTTTGTTTTGAACTTTTGACATAAAATTTTTGTGGTTACGACTTGCGGTCATGTAGGTTTATCATTTTTTCTTTATAGGTTTCTCATTTTTTATTTATATATTTGGACTTATGTGTGTAGGTTTCTCATTTTTTCTTTATAGGTTTCCCATTTTTTCTTTATAATATTTGGAGTTAAGCGTGTGTATGTATAAGTTGGAATAATGAAGTTCCTTATGTAGTAAAAGTAAAAATTAAAAAATAAGTATTTTAAGTGAATTCAATTGAAATTTCTAAAGACGTTTTAAGACTTTAGAAATCCTGGTGTATTCAACTAGATTTGTTAAGACTTTTAAAAGTCTTGAGATATTCAATTGGGATTTTAAAAAGTCTTATAAAATCTTGAGATATTTAACTTACTAGTGTGTATCCCGTGCGATGCACGGACAAGCTTTTTACTTAAAACCTTTTCTAAGACTTTATATTAAACATAGTTATTTATGTTTGACATCTCATTATTGTAAGAAAAGAAAAACCAAATAAAATAAATTACATATTATTTATTTGAATATAATGAATGTCATCAACCAAACTAATAACATCCAATATAAACATATGATATATGATAAATTATATGATCGTCATATTTTTTGAAAAAAAAATCATCAATTAAGTTGAACTATCTGAATATAAAAAATAATTTATGATATCATTGACCATATTTACCCGTTGTATTTAAGATATCGTTGACCATATTTTTAAGATTTACAAAATATCTTTTTCAAAATAGCATTTTTTTTATAATTTGAATTTGAATTTTTCATCCATTTTTTAACAAAAAATAAAAAAATAAAAATAGTATTTTAAAAAATTTTAGACGAAAATCAAATAATTTTAAAACATATCAAAATTAATTTTGAATTATTTTATTTAAATAAGGAAAAACAATCGGATATGTTATTAAGATAAATGGAGTCTTTTTAAAACTCTTCAAAATCTGATTAGTTCTGAATTATTTTATTTTAAATAAGTAAAAAATGTTGGATATGTTATTAAGATAATGGAGTATTTTTAAAACATATCAATATTAATTTTGGAATAATTTTATTTAAATAAGGAAAAAAATCGGATATGTTATAAAAATAATTGAGTCTTTTCAAAATATATCAAAATTAATTTTGAATTATTTTATTTAAATAAGGAAAAAAAAT